CTGGACTCGACCTGACAATAATAAAAACTCAAAAGCTGCTCAGTGGTGAGAATATATCGGATACTTTTAATTAAGTAATTAATGGAGTTCAACTTATTTACTAACTGATTGCAATGTGTTTTCCAGCTCAAAAATTCATCAAAAACTATTCCCAGGAACTTGACACTTTGATTCTGTGCAACCTTACTAGTTCCGATATTGAGTTCTAAATTGGAGCACTGTTTTTGCCAATTACGAAATCTTAAAAAATTTGTTTTTTCAGTGTTTAAGTACTGATTATGAGAGGAACACCAATCATTTAAAATATTCAAACTATTGTTGCATTTACTCTGCAACCGACTATCAGATTTGTCCGATACAAGCAAAGATTGGTCATCCGCATACATAACCAAATGAGTACCCCAATGCAGTGGCCCCAATTCATTCGTGTATATTAAAAACAATATAGGCCCCAAAATGGACCCCTGTGGTACGCCAACATCTATCACATTTCGCTTAGAATTGACCTCAGCTGCACAACCTTCATGGAAATATTTCAAATTCACATATTGCGATCTATTTTCTAAAAATGATTTTATCCAATTTAATGGCACTCCCCGGATTCCATATGCATATAATTTATCTAATAACTTACTTTGATCCACACAGTCGAATGCCCTACTGATATCACAAAAGATACCCACAGGGCACTCTCCCTCCTCGATGTAATCTACAAGTTTCTCATAAAAGGAATGAATTGCGGTACCAGTTGATTTGTTATGTCGAAACCCGTGCTGATTGTCTATCAAAACATTGTTTTTATCAAGAAAATTCACCAAACGTTCCGCAAATGCATATTCAAAGATTTTTGCAAATCCGGATGGTACTGTAACCGGCCTATAATTTTGCAAATCTTCTTGATCGTTTTTCTTATGAATTGGTACTACTTTACTAATTTTTAAGCAGTCTGGAAACTTGCCTGTTTTGAATGATAAATTTATCACATAAGTTAAAGGTTCTATAATTGAATCCATTATTTTTTTAATAACAAATGCTGGTATCTGATCAGGCCCAGCCGAATGCTTGTTTTTTACTTTTCGCTTTAATAAAGCCAACAGTTCCTCACCAGTAAATGGCTCCAAAAAGAAAGACTTCAGAAAATTTGACCTGGAAATTGCAGGAAACTGGACTTATGTAGTTAGAATTAACGTAATGCATACTCAGCTGTAATTTTATTTACTGCATTTGAAATTTCAGTCAAAATTTTAATTTTTCTTGCATGGTATTTTTCCTTGTTTTCTAAAGCCTCAATTTTTTTTTTGTAGTAACTGGCCTTGATTTCATAATGTTTGTTAATTAACTGTATTTTTTTTTTCTCTATAAGTATCTGTACCAACAATGCTTTTGTCACTTATTTCAAGGAACTTCTTGCTGTTCTTTATGGAATCAGTTAACCTTGCTGACTTTGTATACCTTTTTTTTACATTCTCTTTGATTTCTTCCTTCTTGGTTCTACCAGATGTACATGGTTTACTTGTTTGTGTGGTATAGTTGTGGTGTAGTATTGGGTATTGTATATCCCCATCTATTTTATCGTGTATAACATTTACTTCCTCAATTTCCATAGGATCATTAATTTCCTAAAATTGCAGGAAAGGATAAGGAAATTGCAATATATTATTATGGATGTTGCTAATGGGTTTACAATTAGTTAAGAATAAAACCTTTACCTAAGAAAGAAGTTAAAATATGATTGTACAAACAAAAAAATGCAACTTCGGTTAATTATAATGTGATTTTAAATTACTTCGCCTGGAATAACTATTTCCAGCAGTTACTCAACTGGGTCAGCACCACAGTTAGTCAAATACATGGTACATGTTGGTATGTTTATAAACAAAATTAATTGAACAAAATACCTACCTTTCTCCACTGTTTCCAGTCTTTAGTGGCCCCTCCTGGAATAGCGTTTAATATACTACTTGCCTCTTTCCACAATGTCATGCTTATCGTATTCGTATAAGTGCCGGTTAATTTGCCCTTATACATGTCGGGTCGTGCGTACACAAAATTAACTAACACTTCTTTCTGTTTCTGACTCAACTGCCTTGTTTTAAGCAAAGGTAAATTCATTTTTCGATCTCCACAAATTTATATTAAATTGTCAAAATTAAAGTAAAGTTTTTCTGTGTTTTGTCAGTTTTCTGCAATTTCATTGGTCGAACAAACCGGCAACGCTGTTCCCCGATTTTGCTCCCTCCCTGATACACCTCGGTGCATTAGAGGTTTCAAGAATTCAGTGTTTTTCTGTCGGGGAGCTCAAATGAGGGAACGCTCCTCGGGAGCTCCCAGGGATAACTCCCTTCTCTTACTTTCAAGAATAGACGTCCTGGTCTTCTTTACCTGAAATTAGAGATAACTATATAAGTTCAGTGATGCCGCGAGTTCGTTTTAGCTGGCTTCTAGGAAACCTTCATGTTAACGATAATTCACTGCAGCCCAAAAAAGGTGAACCAGGCTATAATAAGTTGTATAAAAAATCCAGCCTACGTTGGAAACTTTATCTGAAACTTTCAAACAGTCTTGGGTTCCAGGAGAACATCAATCAATAGATGAATCTATGATTAAATTTAAGGGTCGCTCGAGTATCAAGCAGTATATGCCCAAGAAACCAGTAAAAAGGGAGTACAAAGTTTGGGTAAGGGCAGATAGTACTACAGGATTTGTTCACCAGTTCCAAATTTACACGCGGAAAAAAATGTTCTTACAGAAAAGTGTCTGGGGAAACGTGCGGTGATGGATTTGACAAGAGATCTTGTGAATAAAAACCACAAAATATATTTTGACAACTTTTTTAATTCCATACCTCTATTGATCCATCTTAAAGAAGAACACATTTATGGATGTGGAACCATGCGCCAGAACAGGAAACTTATTCCAAAACTAGCAGTGGACAAGGATATGCATAAAGGAGATATTGATTACAGTATGCTGAAGAATGGAGTAGTTTGTATGAAGTGGAAGGATAATCGTAGCATATTTATGGGGTCTAATTTTCAAGATCCATCTATAGTAGAAATAGTAAGAAGAAAACAGAAAGTTGATAACAGATTTATTATTAAATCATAAAAAAATACAACCGATACATGGGAGGGGTTGATAAAGCGGACATGCTCAAATCACTTAATGAAATAGATTGTAAAAGTAAGAAATGGTGGCACAGAATATTTTTTTATTTTTTGGACTTATGTGTTGTAAATGCCTATATTATTTTCAAGTCAAAATCTGAAGGGGCCTGTGTAATATTGAAGCAATTTAGAACCTCTGGCCAGTGGACTGATTGGTGCTAAAGGGGCAAACCTGCATGTAGCAAGCCTCCAAACAACTATAAAATCTCGGTTTTACCAGAAAAACAATATGACCAGAATGCTCACATGCCGGATTTCACAACTAAAAGGTGTCACTACTGCAGCACAAAAAAAAATGTGCACCGCACAAATATTATTTGCCAGTCTTGTAATGTACCACTATGTCTACAGAAAAAACGAAATTGCTTCAAGTTGCATCACAAATCTTGATTTTGAAAAGGAAATAGAAAAAGGCTCAGTGGTACTTACGGTAGACCACCATTTTTTGAAAATTTTGAATGCAAAAATTTATGTTTTTTGGCTTTTGTCAGCTTTTTGTACTATTTTAAAATAAAATTTCCAAAGCAGTTTGTATTTTTAATTTATATCTATAATTCGGTCCTCAAAGGGTTAATCTTCAGTCTCATGAGGAATTCAACGCTTTTTGTCGTAAAGTGTAACAAACCAGATTTGTGTTTTTAAGGTTGTCGGCACTGTTAGGTTAAAGTTCTGTTTAGTTCTGTATTCAGTACGGTTCAATGGTTAAGTTTTTCTACAAGTTAAAAATAAAACAAGAGAAGTTGTTGTTTGTTTATTAAGTTAAAAAGGAATTGCAACATTCTATTTATTTTTGCTGCGACAACACTTTTAAATAATTGGAATAAAATTCCTTTGCTGTTACTTCGCTGCTAAATGTGGCTTTCAAAGTTCTCCAATTCATATCGCCATCTGCCCCTTCCTCTGCTCTCCAAGTACATTCCGTCTTTTCAATCTAGAAGAAACAAAAATTAAGTACGATGAAATAATTCATTAACTATACTCCCTTACTTCCATTAAAGTGTTCATCCCAATTAGCGTGTTACTTAAAACGTTTCCGCTGTCATCGTTCAACATTAGCCTTGCTTTCATTTCAGGGTCGTAGTAAATCTGCAGTTTGCCCATAGTTATAGGTTTCCACATTCTACATAGGGACAGCTCACTTAATGTGCAGCATTTCGTGAACAGAACAGAACTAAAAAAATAAGTATAATAACAAGAAATACTCATCTTAAAAAAACTAACCGTTCGTCTTTATCGCCGTCTTCGTCCTTATCCTTGTCATCCTCGTCAAAATTTTGAGCGGTTGCAGGCAAGGATTTGTTCTGTACCTCAGTCACTTCCTTGATGACGTCTTGGGCGACGTCGTGAAACTGTTTAGCCAGCTTGACTAATTTGAAACCAACTTGTAATTTCTCTAGGTTGTTTTCATCTTCGCTTAAAATATTGAATTCCACGTAAGGCGTGTTCGACCTGTGTATCGGCTGAAGGTCGAGGTTAGGAACGATGCGCTGGTTCAACACATCTTTTCGGTATCTCATGAAAATCCTGTATGTGTCTAAAAAAAAAAAAGTATATTCATCACTTCTGCTGCACCTGAACAGTCCTGATTAGAGAAAAATTACTTACTATTCTGCGATTGGTGCAAGACTTTCAAGCTACCAGTGCCTTTAAATTTCCAGGTACTGCTGTTTGTATCATGTTTATGTAGCCTGACGGATTTTTGTTTAAACAGGACGTTTTCTCTTGGTACGACTATAGCGTCGGGAAGTGACACGAGAGCCTCAGTTGAGGAATCAGGATTAGAGGCTGATACTGATGCAGACGATATGTCATCTATTAAAAAACATCTTAGGTAATGTTGGCCGACGAAGAATTTATCCTCTGCAGTTTTTGATAGTATTGCAAAAGATACCTACCTACCTGCCTACTAAGGGAGATCGTAAATATACGATTTTTAGATGTTTACTATTTTGCGCGCTCTACGAATTCGCATTATACAGTCGTTGGCAGCTAACATTCTCAAGTCTCCAACATTTACCATTGTATCTGTATGCTACATGACCTTAAAAGGAATGCACGGTATCTACATTTGAGCTTAACCAATCGACCACGGAGGCTTGTTGCCACCTTCCATCTCTTTTTAAGAATTTTTGTGAGACCATCATAATTAATTAGTAAAACAATCACTTACATTTTACTCTGGTACGTACTTAACATTATTAAAATAAAATGAGTGCGGAAAACGATAACCTCAATAACTTCTTTAGTTGCATGGACATTGTACATTTATGTACAATGTTTATTATTAAAAGGATTCAGTGGTCTCCGTTATGGAGAAAAGCTAATAATTATACAAAAATCGATAAAAATAAAGACCATGAGTGATTATTGTGTTGGTTCACTAAACCATGTCTTTGTAATGAGGCTTCATCACCAAACAAAATACTGGATAAAATATTTATGTTTTTCCTTGAAATTTTCATATACCATTGACGAAAATCTGTCCTGTTAGGTAAATCCGAAGCAGTCAATTCCTGCACAGGTTGTAGATGGTAGGGGTATAAAAGATTATTATTCGCAATTTTCCAAATCGTAGTATATGAAACGTTATACTGTGTTACCAATTTTCTGGTACTAGTTTCAGAATTCTGATCTTGTAAATTGCCAAAGACAACTTCTTCAAGTTCTACACACGAATAAGACGTCTTCTGCCAGTACCTTCAGGACGAGGTTGAATGTGTCCATTTCCTTGAAGTCTTCTTTCTACCGCCGCAAAAGTTTTTCTAGCAGAAACACGACGATTGGAATATCTGGCATGATAAAGTCGTACAGCTGCAGCACAGTTCTTGTAACATTCATTAAATACTTACAACATATCGACATACTCGTCATTGGTATACATAATTTGTTATTTTATTCAATTCCAAAACTATTTAATATCTAGGATGCAGGTAAATAGTGACTAAAATCAATTAACACTTTAAGCTAATACTAAAATACTAAAATTGCAATTTACGAGTATTATCAAATGACTAGATTTTTTTATTTATTTAAGCAACTCGAACCTTGGTATCGTGGAGATATAAATCCGTAACTCTAATTTATGAAATTAAAAATATCTCCTCAAGGGTTGGCTTTAGCCATTTTCAATAAGTATACCTTTTTTGTTCAAATAAAGTCCAATATTTCATATTTTGTCAGTAAAAGCTGTATACAGGGGTTGGCAAAAAGTTACTACATATTCAATGCATCACGTTGCCTGCAGAGGGCGCCTCATACTCAACACTCAAAAATCATTATTATATTATTTATCTCATCATTAAAAAACCTCTATGTTGAAAATTTGAAACATTTCTGACTGAAATTATAGAAATTATTAAGGAAAAACCGTTTTTTATTTTTCACTTTGACACCCTGTATCTTTTTTATTATGCGACTTGGAATATAGATATGTTAGGTTAAATCGACTTATTTTCACCCAAAGAATCTCTGGTATCATTTGTGCCCCTCCATTTAAATAAACCCTGTATATGGTGCTATGAATCAGTTACTGACAAAGGCACATCTGTTAGTAGATAAAGAAACTAACAACAGAGCTGAATTGTTCATGAGTTTAATGGTCCGATTTAATATGGGAAAAAGGCTAAACCTCATACAACGAGTTTCTTTTCAAATAAGATCCCATTCAACTGGTCTTAAATACAATGAAGGGCATACGTGGCATAAAAAACTGTGGAAAAAAAATGTTTGCCAGTAGTCCGGGCAGTGGCGGCGCGTGAACATTGATTGAATGTGTTCTGTTTAGGGTTGTTACATTTGTTGAATGGAATTCTGGGATATTAACTGCCCGGAGAGTTGATCTATCTAAATGGCACTGCAGGTGAAAAATTTTAAAATTTTCAAGGTCACGCGTTTGTACAAAAATACAGATTTTCACAAGAACGATTTTTGAAATTGATACCTTTTTGAAATATCTATTCACGAATTACCTACTGGCGGTATAAATAAATTGGAATAAACTAAATATATTTTATTAAATTATTGAATATTGTTTATAAACAAAAAAATCGTTTTTGAAATTTACCAACGATTCAACGAATTTTAATTTTCCTCGCCGTGTTATGATTTTTTCTTTATCTTTTTTTGTATATATGTACATTATATTATTTATATTCCGGGAGTTATACGTGCAAATCCGAAATCCAGGACCATACAGCTAATTCCCGGTACAATCACAAAAAAATCCTGGTCATACCCATATGGCTAGATGTTCTTTTAATATGTCGTCAAGATCTGCACTAAAATTTATGAGTCCACGAAACACATCAAGGTTGTCCGAATTTTCTGTTTCGTCGTGTCCGCGAAGTGCTAATTCGAAAGCTCCGCAAAATTTTATGCAATCTATGATTTTAGATAATACATAACGATTTTTCGTTACCTGTTCATTGTGCTTCCGTATATTATCCCAATATGCAGACTCTAACTGACTTCTTATGTTTATTTTACCTAATGACTTAAATTACTTAAATCCTTCACACTGTATATTGTCCATGCTTTATCCCCACCGAAAAGTAAGCACGGAAAACAAAACAGT